CCTTACCAAATAGAGAATAGTGGAGGAGAGGCGGCGACACGATAAATTAACGGTGGAGAGAGAAGAACTAGCACGGTGGAGGAGATCACCGAATTAAGGAGACTAGGTCTGGGTACGGGAGAGAAAAATGGAAGAGAGGAAGAAAAACGATTCAGATTTTAGATCTAGTTCTAAATCTAGGTAGCAATGACTAGGGGTGTTCATCAACCGATCCAAATCGTGGTGACCGAACCGAAAAATCGATAACCGAAAAATCAAAAACTGAAAAAAAAACCGCAAACTTTAATTGGATTGGATCGGTTTTCAGATTGGTTGATGAAAACTGATCCAATATATTAATTCCCCTCTACCTACTTGGGTCTTTCCTCAATCATAACTCAAAAATTTCTAAATCCAAGACCCATTAACCCATCAACTAAACAAAAAAAAAATCTAGTCACATCTCATCAACAAAATTTCATTTATATAGAGCATCATATCTCATTGTCCAAAAAAACAATTATATTATCGTTTACATGTTTTTGTATTTCAAAAATAAATAAACTACAAAGCCAATATATACAAAAGGTGTTATTTGCACAATAATCATGAAATAAATTTTAGGGTTTTCAAAAAATCGAAAATCGATCCAATCCAAACCCAAAAAATTTGGATTGGATTGGATCGGATTTGACAAAAAATCCATACCGAATGCATGATTATATGATCAAATCAAAGTAGTTGGAACAAATGATTTTTGCTTCCAAAACTGATCCAATCTTGACTGCGAATACCCCTAACAATGACTTACTGGTTCAATCGGGAGGTTTTGGGGGTCAGAAGGGTTAATGTGCAAGTAAGGTCTAACTACTAACCTGAACCCTCATAAAGGGGGGTCAGTGACCTGGCGGGGTCGACCCCAGGATGAGGCAGAAATTTAAAACACTGGTTTGGATCCTCTCTTTTTTAAGCTAGAAGTTACTTTTAAGCTAAAGCTAAAAAAAAACTAAAAGTTGTTTGGCGATTACATAAAAAATTTAGCTTAAATGCACACATTTCAAGAAAAACATCCTCTCTCTATATCTCTATGGCTCTTCATTTAAGAAAAAATACACAATTCAAGAAAAGCTGATAAGAGCTTAAAAAAAGCCCCTCTCATGGGCTATTGACTTTTTCCTTCATTAAAATAGAAGAAGATATTTTTATTAGAAGTGTTTTTCTCAATACCTGTTTAGTTCAACTTCTTCTTATAAGGAGAAGAGAAGCTAAATATAATAGGATCCAAACAGACACTAAGAGCAAAAAAAAATCAGAACACAATCAATCAGACCTTAAGTTGTTGGGTGAGGACCTTTTTTAATGGTTTATATTATTCTCTAACACATCTTCTCACGTAAGAGCCTTTTGGGCTTGAATCGTAATTGCACAGGCCCAATTTTTATTTTACCTTGTGCTTTATTGAAGCTCTGATACCGTGTAAAAAATTAATTCAACTCAGAAGCTTAAGTTGTTGGCTAAATTTTTTTTTAATGATTTATATTATTTTTTAACACAAATCCTTAAATAGGAATTAAGCCTATAAAATTTAATTGGGCCAGTTGAATCAACTCCTTATTAACTAATCAAGGCATTTTTTAAGTAGCAGAAACATCTTTCATATTATTAATGAGTAGAGTTAATATATTAAATTAAAAAAAGAAAATACTACTTTCATTTTACATGAGGTAGTTATCTCATGTTGTCTCACATCGAAAATTCCACCCACTTTTTTTTTTACCCTTTAATGATGGATCCCACATGATTTCTCTCTGTAACATGAGAGAGCTACTCTCATGTAAAATGAGAGTAGCATTCCCCATTAAAAAATGCTAGGAACACACTTGTTGATACTCTTTTTATCATTATGTAAAATTTCAGGTGAACTATTTTAAACAGCTTGTGTACATATTTTTAGCGCAGCCAAGATAAGATGAGACCATGAGAGAGGTTCGTTCTTCCCACAGCAGCTTCGGCAAAACTAGAGTTCATTTTCACTTAACACAATGCGAAATAGGCCAATTATGTTGTTTAGAAGATTTAATGTCATCAAGAATGATGGGAGGGGACAGGGAAGAAAACAATAGAGGGAGAAGAGCCACTAGTTGTGATGATGATATATACCAAGAAAACGTTTGAGAAGTTATACAACAGCAGAAAATAGCATTTAAGGTTAATGTCCAAGAAAATAAAAATAATTCCCAAAAATTAAAAACTCAGAAATTAATCTTGACAACTTAAAACGCTCTCTGTTCGGGCCAGTCCTGAATCTTTTTGGATCGGGTTTTTCGGTCAGGATCCAGTGTCGGAGACTTTTCTGTTTTGGGCTTTTGGATGGATGTGGTGATTGGGCCTGTTTATCATTTTGGTCAGCCTTAGTAAGAAAGGTGAAGAAATCGAATATGTTCAGAAGAATCTCCTCTTTTGTTGAGATTCTTGGCGTAGGTGTATTGAGAGGTGGTGTTTTTTTTTTTTTTTTTGGATTGTTCCACTGGTTTCTGGGGCTTCGTCCTGACTATGTCCAGTCCGACCCGGGTAGGTTACCTAGTATTGGCAGGTGAATCTCTCAGCGAGGATTTTCTGTATACACAAGGTCTCGAACTCGAGTCCTTGCTTAAGCGAATCCAAATACCTTACCACTTGAGCCAACCCCCGTTGGTTCTTCTTATTGAGAGGTGGTTTTCTATGGTCCTTGATGAATTGTCATTGATATCAACTAAAATTACATCATTGCAATAATCAATTATCAACTACTGACTACGAGGTAAAAGGTTGATAAATTGTTAATTATAGATTTGGACTATAAAAAAAAATTATTATGGGGGGGATAAAAATGAAGTCAATTACGTTTAATAAAATGTTACTAGCAACACCTTGACTTCTGCTAAAATGGCCAATGATTATTAGGGAAAGACATTTCTTGGAGGTTCTTAGTAATTTCAAGGAGGATGGTAAACTATAAAGAAAGAGGTGTGCAAATAAAAGTAATTTTTTTGGGATGACCCTCAATAAAAGAAACTCTGCCTGTTTAGGCTACCTATCCCTCGCTTATGGGATATATATACAATATGGTCTGTGTATTGAGGCTATTTTTTCTATTTCAGATGAATACATATGGAATGTAGCCTAAAAAATCTTTGTTGTATTTGAGATTCATAAATATAGATTAATCTAATTATATAATTTTTTATTTTATTTATGAACTTTTATATATATATATATATAGGGGAGGGATCATTTCACTCTAGAGTAGGATTTAAAAATCTTACTCCTCATCTTAGCCGTTGATTTTCGTTCATCTAACGGTTATCATTTATTTGAAATAAATAAATAATTAATTATTATAATTTATTAAATTATAACCGTTAGATGAACGAAAATCAACGGCTGCAATGAGGAGTAAGACTTAAAAGTCTTACTCTAGAGGCAAAAGAATCCTCCATATATATATGTATGAGAAAAGCATTGTTATTTTTTTTTTTTTTTTATTCCACAACTCCTGAGCATTGGAATGCTCTAAGATTAAAAAAGAAAGACTTCAATGATGTTATTACAAGGATTATGACAGTCACTAATTTTCTTGCTCATCTTGTTAAATGGGCTACCTTAATATGACTTTTGCTCATTCTTGTGCTTATATGCTCATGGATTCAAATCCTTATCTTTTGGGTAGTGACAATAAGGAAACTATCCCGTGAGTAGGGGTGTAAATGGGTCAGGCTGGCCCAGCCCAGCCTACGGCTCGGCTTACATTGAGCCCAGCTCAGGCCCGGCCTTTCAGAAAAGTAGAGTAGGCTTAGGCTTATAAAAAAGCTTTTTTAATAAATAGGCCATAGGCCAATTTTGTCAAGCCCGGCCTACAGCCTTGTAGGCTGGCCTATTTAATTTATTAAAATAAAATAATAAAAAAATATTTATTTTATGTGACAAAGACACAAAGTACCAAATACCAATATCTCTTACTTTTTGTGCTATTTTATTTTATGAAAGGAAAACTTGTATAATGTCTCCAAATTTTACATGTTGTTGCAGCTTAATACCATGGAGCAATGGGTACCTTGCTGGATTATGATGTTACTGATGAAGATCTTTCAATAATACTCTTCTTTCCCTTGTCTTGATGGTGGTTTAAAGATTTTTAGATGAATGACATTCTCTTGTAGACTTTATTTCAGCATCCAGTAATTGTATTTTTCTTATTTTTCCCATTTCTTTGACTCTATTCCTCTATGATATATATTCTAGAACTGAGGTATTATGTTGACTCTTTCTTGTTTGTCATTTTTTTCTTATGAGAAGTACTAGTGCATTCATCAATGGAACTTTCTTTGCTCTATACAATTTTTTTTTTTTGCTTAGTATATATAGTGGGAGGCCTACAAGGCCTGTAGGCCATGTAAGGCTTTCTTATTTTTGATAATGGGCCGGGCTTGGCCTACAAATAAAGCCTTTAGTAGGCCAGATAGGCTGAATTTTTTTTGACGTAGGCTTGGGCCAGGATGGCCAAAGCCCAGCCCAGCCCAGCCCATTTACACCCCTACCCGTGAGTGATCTAAATCCATTCTTAAAACTATGCACTAAGGTTTAGTTTCCAAATTTCATAATACCCAAGTGAAGCATTTTTCTTTCCTTTGTAAAATCACATTTTTTCCTAAAATAAAAACCTTTTTAAAAAAAAAAAAAATCATTCACTTTTTTCAATGAGATGAAAAAGAAATAAATTATCTCTTGCATTTGTTTATTTTCCCATTTAGTCTAAAGAAATATATAAGCATGTAGAATTATAATCATCATTCATTAATTCTTGCAATTAATAAAAAAAATGGTGAAGAAAAATTATTAATTGTAACTTAACAGTAATTTTTATTACATTTTCTCATCTCATAAAAATTAATAAAAAGACAAAAGTTCATACATCGTATTATATAATTTCACACAGAATATATAGAAAGAAAAATACATACTAATATTATATTCTTGTATCTTGATGGATGCTGCATTCACATACGCGATTTTATTATGAGGAAATTTTATTATTATTATTATTATTATCATTTTATATGGTTTCGATGAAGTTTCATAGATTCATTAGAATAGCAGAAAGGCAACAGAAAGGTCTTCATTCAGGTCCTGACGAGATCATCCGATGGTATCCTTTGAATCGTCTCAACGAAACTGAGCATAGTTTCAAGATTATTATCATCTACAACAAAAAAGCACAACCAAAATTACATATTTCACTAAACCCGTAATTACAGTGAAAAAAAATTATAAATCAAAGGAGGATATACTATTTCTAACCAAGTTTTGGGACTTCATGCCCTCCTGGGTGATGAATCACAACAGGATCCACGAATGCTTCTAGCAAAGCAATGCCCTCTGGCTTCGCGAAATCCATCTCCCCTTCACCACATAACATGGACCAAGTAGATTATAATTTGTTCACTACTACAATATCAATAGAAAATGCAATGCAATTTTTAAAGACTAAAGTAAAAGAAATGCTGAAACAAAGAATCATAAGAGACTTGTTTCGAGAAACTACCTATAAAATGAAGAGAAGGGCAACCGATTGGTTCTGAAAATGTATTGGAAGCCAGTTCAGGCATTCCAAACTTCTTTCCACCAAACTTGGCTCCTGATATCACAATCAGGAACTTGATCTTGTTTACCTTCCCAAGTGCTACGCCCTTATAAAGTCATCACTTACTTTAATCAAATCGTATGCAATTAAACTTTAACCTCATTGCCAACTAAATGATATAAAAACCACTAAAACATAAGTAACAAATAAGATTTGTTTCTTTCTTAATTAGTACCTGTGTTTGCATTCCTGGCATTGCAGCAACTAAAATTGCTCCCTGAATGACATTTTTAATTAATTAAAAAAAATGAAAGAAAAGAAGCTTCTAAAAGTTCAATAGCAAAGCAACCGCACCTGAGAGAATCCAAGTAAACCATCAAAAGGACCATTTTTCACCATGTAATCTTCAATGTATGCTACACATTCTTCGAAGTTCGTATACTCTGTGAAATCCTGTACACAGTATAGATAAATATTTAATACGATGACTTTAGTCATATTGTAGGTGGGGATTAAGATTTATTGTCTCTAGAACCTCATTAGCGTGGAACCATTCATGGCCTTCAACGTCTGATTTTCCCTGTGCTGAAAATTTTCCGTTGAGGAAGACAAGGTCCAGCTTTTGTATTACAGTTTCTGGCCAACGCAAGACTACGTATTGCTTGAGGATTTCAGCATTGCTCCCGTGTCCATGGAGGCAGAGGATTCTGGGTTTTTTCTGGCTTTGATCTTCCATGATATGCCGAAACTTGCTTTCAGATTTCAAGGTTTAAATCGTGTGGGAATTCAATTGCTCTTTTTTTTCTTGGACTCTACCAGCATTCGAACAAGGACCATTATGGTGTTGTCCTCCAACAAGCAACAACTACCATACTGGCCATGAATGCTAGTAACTACTTTTGGCTACCAAAACTCTCAGTAGTTAATGTTTGGTATTCAATGCCTTCAATTGCTTCAGTAACTACTCTTGGCAACCAAAACTCGCAGTGTTAATTCATGTTGTTGAGTATTTAACGAGGCACTATTTTTTCACCCTTATAAAGTTCATGATACAATACTTCTTCGACTTCGAGCGTTACACATAAATTGTGTTTAAATCTATTTTATTTGGAAAAGAATTCGCTCAATGTATCATTTAACGTAACGTGAGACGATTAACTTGTAAGCTGTTTATAGACAAATTAATATGTATTCCTTCTTCACTCTATATTTAACATTCTCCTTCTCTAATTTTTTATCATTGTTGATTTATCTATAAACTACTAAGACTGTCTCACGTAGGGATGTGCATAGTTCAGCTTCGGTTTGATTTTTTTTACCGAATCAAACTGAACGACAGAAAGCAATTTAATTTAGTGAATTGAATTGGTTCATACAAGTTTAAAAGTGATTATGAACAAGTTTAAAAGTGATTATGAACAAGTTTAGAAATCATTTAGGGGAGTTTGGTTTGGATGAAAATTTTTTTTGACCAGAAAAATGTAATTATCAGGGATCTATAAGAAAAGTGAGTTAAGTAGAAAAGTTAAAAAAAAGTTAGACCAAATATTACTGGACAAATTAATTAAAGTTTTTGAAATCTATGTTTAGTTGAGGATAAAATATTGATGGATAAATAGTATAAAATTACAAATGTAACCTTATAATAATTTTTTAATATTAAAACAAGTTGCCATTGCGCATGACAACACAACACAAAAGTAACCCCATAATAATTTTGGTCTGCTTTTTGGTTGCGCATGTTGCCATTTAGCCGGCTAACAACACAATACCATGTCCAATTTGTCTTTCACAACAGTGACTTATGCTTACCTTTCACGACCTTTTCTAAATTGCTATGCAAATACAACACTGACAACAGATGAGGAAATATTTTGAAACTATGTACCAAACATGGATATCATAGATTGTCAATGTCATATGCATAGGAAACTATTTCAAAGTCCTGAATCAAATGTGTGAACTGGTTTCTCAACAACTCAAATAAAAAGTACAACAGATTGGAAAAAAATAAAAATGATACTGGAAATAAAAAAAATTAAAAAAAAAAAGAAAAAAAGAAAAAAAGAAAAAGAAAAGAAAAGAAAAACTAAAGAAATAAAAAAATAGAGAGAAAAAAAAAAGATAAAAATAATTTTGATTTATGAATTGGTATTTTACACTAGTTCAGTTCATGAACTGAATTTTAAAAATTAGTTCAGTTAATGAATTATTATTTTAAAAAACATATTCTTTTAAGTGCTTCAGTTCATATTAAAATTCAATTCCTTTTATTCTTTGGCACACTCTTAATATAATCTAAAGTAAGGTTATGTTACATGAAACTATTCATTCTCATCCTTATTTTGGATTAAACTTTAGTTTTTCATATTCATATTGAGTTTTGTGGGATTACATAAAAGGACTGAACTTTAATTTAAAAACTTTAAAGGCTCAAATGTATTTATAAAAAAATAAAAACTGTAACTTACGGTTATTTTGGTGGTCTACTGCTGGTGAACCCTTTGGGAAATGATGTGTCGTAAAACGCAATATTTGCAAAGCTGGAAGGAAAAAGACTTGCAATTGGTTATCTATCACTTCACCTTTCATCTCCACCACTCGTTTTCGGAAGGTATTTCCAATGGTTACTTGGGAGCATGGGTCCGCAGACATTGTATTTGAGTTGGAGAAGTTTTCTGTCTCTCTCAACATGATCAGAATCTAAACGATGATTTACAAAAACATTAGCAAAAAATAAATATCAAAATATGTAAAGACTTTGTTGGTAGTAGCAAAACCTACTTCAGCAATTTCTATGCCTCGAACGAATTGATCTTCGGGAATCAGTTTGGGAATACCTTGAGAAAACTCAAAAAAAAAAAATTCTTAGTAAAAAGACAAAGAGGCATGGAAATGCCATTACCATTTACCATCCTTCAATCCCCATGTGGTATAGTCGTTTTCATGTATCAATTTTATCCGTGAGTGTGCGAGTCAAGAACGAAAAAACAGATCATGGGAGGGGTTGGGGGCTACAAAATACGAACAGGTATACTTGTTGCTTCACATGAACTTCATTCCTACCAAACATATGAGAGCGATCCTCTTCTCATATTAAATAAAACATGATATGATTACATGAAAAAATTATAATCATATAAAGATGAATCAACTGTGATAAAAGTAAAGAAAGAAAAAATATTAAAATTGATAATTACAAAATTATCACAGATGATTTGCATTTGCCTTTAGATGATTGTAATTTTCCAACATGATGCACGATTTATGCAAAAACCAGCACATGCCAACCGTGCCTGTTATGTGTTGTGCCATGCAATAGTAACACTTGATCAATACACTTTCATATAGTAGATTAGTTTTTATTCGCTCACTTATTGCTCATCTACCATTTAGGTTCGCCTGAATGAAAGAACCTTTAAAATGCAACTTGTCATATAGGAAACATCAGTGCTCTATGTGCATGTCGTCGTCAATCTTGTAAGAAAATGTATCCGGTTGATTACTTGTTTAACAGGTTATACAATAAAATTGTTAACTACAAAATTAGTCCTTCAAAACATTAAAAATTATGTGCAAAGTATTTACAAAATGGTACTCCTCCAATCTCACACATGCTGAGCCATCACCAAGCACCACCGAAGCTGTATCAGCCAGGAGCCACCGCATACGAGCCCCCTATCACAATCAGCAGAATTGAAAACCTGGAAGAGAGAACCCAAAGCCAACATCAAAATAAATCTATGCACCAGCAAAATATACCGCAAATCCAGCTACACATCAAGCATTAAGACCTGCAAAATTAAACTTCATCATCATGAGCCCACAACAACAACCACGTAAACCACCATCAGAAGTTTTGTTACTACTTCCTCGATTCCTAGAACAGTAATTCTCTTTCCTTATTTTTTGCACTGTCATCTAATTTATGCTTTGAAATCTGTAAGTCTTTTTATCATCTTATTCTTTGTCCAAAATTTTAATATTTGCAAATTTCGTTATGCTTCTTTTTACTTTACTTTTCTCCTGCACGCTTACAATCTTATATCTTAATTCCATAAATGGGAAAGATAATAGAGCTGTGAGACTTTACAATGATGGAAACTTGAAACACCAATGGAGCTATAGCAGCATAGATCAAGAAATGTTAATAAAGTAAGCTTTCAAAAAATACGTTTATATGGCAAGCAATTGTATTTAACACCGTTGAAACTTTTGTAAACAGAAACTTCTACGGAGGATGAGTTATGAAAAGTAATAACCCATTTTATAAAATTGTAGTGACGACAGTTTTTGTTATTAATTTATAGAAAGGGCACCTAGCCAAGATCAGATTCGAGTATTATGAACAAAATGCATCTAATGGCATCAGTCATTGGGTAGCTTCATGGGAGGATCCTTATAAGCATCAGACAGAATTCAATGCCATCAAAAGGAACTGTTGAGGTCATTCAACATAAACCCAAGTGCATAAGAGGTCAAACAGAGACTGGTAAATGGGTTCAACATCCATCATGGAAGTTTATGTGACTGGACAATCATCCTGGAAAATAATCTTCCAGGAGAAAGATTACAAAAGCCTTCAGATAATGCCATAGGAAAGTTCAAAAGTGAAATTGCTTTTCTAAAGTGTCAAGTGTCATACTTTTAAGTTACAATCACTTCGGAAGTATATAGAAAAAGAAGGCAGTCCCAGCTAAATTTCAAGAGTGAGACCAAAACATTTGATACCTTGCTGAGAATGAAGATACCAGTTTTTAGTTAGAGGCAATAAAGGAAGAGCTTGTTTATGAAAAAGAGCAGAGTGCCAATCAAAACTCAAATTTTGAACAACCTTTAGTTGTGGCAGACCTTGAGGCAATGCTAGAGCAAAAAGGATAAGGAAATATTGGATCCATCTATCAATATAAAATCCGAAAAGCCTACTAAAGAGCATGATTATACAGGAGAATTAGGTCTCTTGGAGCAGAAAATTAGCAGACTAGAATGGTGTAACAGACAATTATTATAAGCAACATAAAGAATTAAGCGAGCATATAAAAGAGCTCTCTCTGGAATACGAGCTTCTTAAGAAGGAAAATGTAGATATTTCTTTGAGATGAAAGTAAGGCGAAGCACATTACATCATGTTATAAAATTATCATTTAGCTTCTTTAGTTACAATACAACAACTTGAATCACAAGTAGAGATATTAGAAGAAAAAATGAAGATGCAGGGAGAAGACTTTTCAACGTCTTTGGTCTGCATCAAAGAACTGGAAAATCAAGTCAAGTCTTTAGAGAAAGGAATGAAAATGCATGTAGAGGAATAATCTGAGCAGGAAGAACGGCCCATCCAAAAGAGACACAACAAAGCTCTCACATCTGAGCATTTTTAGGAGGAATATGGACACAACAAAGCTTTCTGTTGAAATGTCATTCATGGTTGAGGGGAATGAAAAGGTTATTATAAAAGCAGTTGCAAAAGCTGATGAATTGCTGAACCATAATAAACTTATGGAAGAAATGCTCCATAAAAACCTTTCTTTTTAAAAAACAAACCATTCACTTTTTAAAAAACGAAAATCATTCATCTCTTGCATTTGTTTATTTCCCATTTATTCTAAAGAAATTCGTAAGCATGTAGAATAATAGTCATCATTCATTCCATTCTTGCAATTCGTAAAAAAGAAAAAAAAGGATTAAGAAAAATTATTAATTGTAACATAATAGTAATTTTCATTACATTTTCTCATCTCATAAAAAATTTATAAGAAGACAAAAGTTCGTACATTGCATTATAGAATCTCAAAAAGAAAATAAAGAAAGAAAGAGACATACTAACATTGTATTCTTGTATCTTGATTGATGTTGCCTTCACATATACAATTTTATTAGGAGGAAAATTATTATTGTATATATTGAATTCGATGAAGTTTCATAGCTTCATAAGAATGATAGAGAGGCAACAGAAAAGTCTCCATAAAGATTCAGGTCTTGCCGTGACTATTCGATGGTATCATCTGAATTGTCTCAATGAAACTGAGCATAGTTTCAAGACTCTTATCAACTGCAACAAAAAGTAATCCACCCAAAATCTCAGATTTCACTAATTTTGTAAACTGAAAACCAATATTCAATTACTTCCTGGCAGCAAAACCCATAGTTACAGTGGACAAAATTATTAATTAAAGTAGAAGATACTATTACTAACCAAGTCTGGGGACTGTATGTCCTTTTGGGTGATGAATCACAACAGGGTCCACAAATGCTTCTAGCAAAGCAATGCTCTCTGGCTTCATGAAATCCGTCTCCCCTTCACCACATAACGACCAAGTTTAATTAATTCATTACTACAATAACAATAGAAGATGCAACGCAACTTTTAAAGACAAAAGTAAAGGTATAATTGCTGAAACAAAGAATCAAAAGAGACTTTTTTCTAGAAAGTAGAAACTACCTATAAAATGAAGAGAAGGGCAACCGATTGGTTCTGAAAATACATTGGAAGCCAGTTTAGGCATTCCAAACTTCTTTTCACCAAACTTGGCTCCTGATATCACAATCAGGAACTTGATCTTGTTTACCTTCCCAAGTGCTACGCCCTAAAGTCACCACATACTTTAATCAAATCGTATGCAATTAAACTAAACCTCATTACCAACTAAATTTTCATTTTTCTAGCAAAAGAGCATTTTGCAATAACTAGGGGCGAAAAGGGTGAACTTAATGATATAAAAACACTAAAACCTAACAGTAAATAAGATGGATTTCTTTCCTAGTACCTGTGCTTGCATTCCTGGTAGTGCGGCTGCTAAAATTGCTCCCTGTGTGACATTCATATTTAATCAAAAAATGAAAGAAAAGAAGTTGCAAAAAGTTCAGAAGCAAAGCAACCGCACCTGAGAGAATCCAAGTACACCATCAAAAGGACCATTTTTTACCATGTAATCTTCAATGTATGCTAAACATTCTTCGAAGTTCGTATACTCTGTGAAATCCTGTACACAGTATAGATAAATATTAGCACGATGACTTTAGTCATATTGCAGGTGGGGATTAAGATTCACTGTCTCTATAACCTCATTAGCTTGGAACCATTCATAGTAAGGAGGATCATAAATGCCTTCAACATCTGATTTTCCCTGTGCTGAAAATTTTCCGTCGAGGAAGACGAGGTCCAGCTTTTGTAGTACAGTTTCTGGCCAACGTAAGACTAATCGCTTGAGGATTTCACCACTGGTCCTGAATCCGTGGAGGCAGAGGATTCTGGGTTTTTTCTGGCTTTGATCTCCCATGATGTCGAGACTTGTTTTCAGAGATCAAGGTTTAACTCGTGTGAGAATTCAATTGCTGGAGTAACTATTCTTGCTACCAAAACTCTGTTAATGAAGTTGTTGAGTAATCTATCCCTTCAATTGCTTGAGTAATTACTCATAGAGCTACCAAAGATTTCAGTATTAATTGAATTGGTTGAGTATTCAACGAGCCCCACTTATTTCATCATTATCTATGTAAGGTGGAAATGGATCCTCCGTCTCAAAAGAAAAGAAAAAATAAAATAAAATTTGTGACATGATTAAGAAAAGTTTACAAGGTGGATTAACGATTATAATTTTGTAGGTACTGATTCAATTTTTATTTTATCTCTTTTCTTTTATTACCATTCATACACCTTTACATGATTAAAGTTTTCCATATCATCATATTGTATTTATTTTTTAAATAAAAAGATCCAAATGCAGGTTCAGGACAACAATTATTCGAGCTTAAGACATAATTAATGTTTAACTCTATCTTATTATTTTGACGATCTTCCTCGCGATTCATACTACCATTCATACACCTCGAAAAGTCTCCGACAGTGCTGACTGCGCATCTTCAGCGCGATTTCTCGATCTTGAACTTTTACAAAATATTAAAAAAAATACACAGAAATTCCAAAAATAAACAAAAACAACAAGGAGGAAACCTAATCATATGGGATTAGCCTCCTTGTTACAAATCGAGAAATACACGAGAGACCCTAACCATAGATTAAAGCATTTTTACCGATTAAAATTTAAACTTTTATAAAAATGAATTATAAAATACACGTGCTAGATTCATACCATAATCCTAGAACCCTAGATGCCACATTTCAAGAAGCAAAACTAATTACATGAGTAGTGAAACTAGATTCACATACCAATGTACAGCCAAGGCTCTGATACCAATTGAAGGAAATCTTAGATTTATGCGGAAGCGGACCTAGTACATTGGTATGCTTACCGAATCATCCTTGTTTCACAATTACCTCTCGGTGCGCAGGTCTCGTGTAGAATCTTCCCTTGTAGGATTCCTCTTCACGAACAGCTCACCTCAGCGCCGCAGCACGAACAACCTCCTTGAAGCTGGACTGTGGCAGATCTTCCAGACTATCTCTCGAGGAGGATGAGATGGTTGTGTGGGCAACTGTTCAGATGATGAACGTCTACATCTTGGGGTTTGTTTATGATGATCTGTTCACCTTCGAGGCACAAGAGGAGAAAACTATGAATATATACGCTTAGGTCTTAGAGATAACTCAACCATAAGCCTCGTGGGCTCAAGTTTCACTGAAACCCAATAGGACTTTAGTGACCAAAAGAGCATATATCCAACATTTTGAAGATTACGTACAAGGACTGAAAATTAATTTGAAAAATATTGAAGACTCCACTGTATTAAAAACAACTATAATAGACAGTGATTTTAGTTGTCTGCCCGTGAAAACTTTCCAAAATTATATATCGTCAGAAATAATTATACAAATAATTTCATAAATTATATAAATTCTAGAGTATCAATTGATCAATGATACAAATTTAATAGGGTAGATAGGGCAACTATTTAATGGACAACTGTATAAATTCTCATTGCGGGTTGTTAAACATTAGTTCACTAAAAAAAAAATTCTAACATTCATCCATTCGAAAAAAATAATTAAATGTGTTACAATAATTTTGAAAAGATTTTGTATTAAAATGGCTCTCAGACTAATAAACTAGAATTTATATGTAGCCACAATTTTCTTTTAGTATTGTATAAGAGACAATATCAAACATGACTCGTATCAGCAATGAATTATGATAGTTGCATTCTTAACTTAATACAAGACTTATCCATGATCACAAGTATTATAAATAACATTGACACGTGTCAAAGTGTAACCATGTAGCAAGAAAATAACGATGAACATGTGCCCCAATTAAGATATGCAATTTTCTTTTCTCAATCCTTAATTTCTCTAAAAATTTAACAATCAACCTGTGAGCTAATTAAAATGTGCAATTTTAATTTTCAATCCTCAATTTCTCTAAACAAAAAAAGCTAGATTCAATATGAGCAAAAGAAATCCCACAATCTTCTTAGAACTGTTATATACAACAGGATTACAGGAGCAAGAAGGATTTCACTAGTTCACAAAGAAGTAAATTTCTCATATTTAAAAATAGTATATCCATAATTGTTTCCAAAAAACAAAAAATAGTATCCTTAATGAGATAACAGACTAATGATACATATATAACCTTCTATAAGGCCAACAAAATTCCAACGTACACAAAAAAAATAACAACAATAAATAAAAATAAAATTTGTACCAAAAAAATAACAAATATGAATATTTTATTCAAATTAAGAAGTCCACTAGTTAGACTACAAAAAAAAAAAAAAAAGGAAGTCCAGTAGTTCAAAACAATGAATAAATATGAGTTATTTTCAAAACTTCTACTAATCAAATACATCAAAAGAACTTAAAATCCCTCATGTTAGAAATATATCATATAAAGACCATAGGTCAAATTCAATCGAATCATTTGATCAAGGGATTAGTTAACATCAAACTAGTATCTATATACTCAAGTGTTATGTCTCCTTGCATACTTAGCACTCTTTGATTGGTTTCCAACCGAAGGCTGAAATTTGTTGTCACTTTTTAAGAGTTTATATGCTATATCATATATGTGATAAAGCTAAATAATTGGTATTAGTAGTGACAATGATAATAATCTTGATAGTATAAGGCATCATAATATAAGTTTATATTATAAATTATGATGTTTTTATTTATTTGATGTGACAATTATATGTATAAACTTATATAGTAATTTTTTTTAATATATTAAAGTAATATATTTTTTTTATGAAAAATAATATATTATTTATTCAGATTTAGGGATGAGATTAGACGTGATAAGTAATGTATTAGGTAAATTCCTATATATCCTTATCTTGTCAGTCATAACTCTTCATCTGCCCTTTTTCTTCTTCTTCCTCCTATGTACGTTTCCCTTCTTTATGCACAAATGCTGCTTCTTCTTCTTCATACATCATCAACAATCTTGTCTTCTCACCTGATTCTGCTCTCGAAGCTTCCAAGGAAGCTAGTTTCGATTCAGTACTCGACTTGTTCAGAAACTGGGATCATGTCATTACAAGGGAGCCATGGTTGATTTCTTGCAACCCCAGCAAACGGGTTGTGCCAAAGTTTTAATTTTTACTCTCCAAAGGTGCTTCTTCCTCTGACATTGTTTTCATAATGAGCAAGACACTGAGACTCCTCCGTCGAAGCCATGAGAATCATATAGTCCCTACATATGAATTGATGTGTAGATTCTTGCAATATGATAAGGAGACCTTGACTTGTATAATCCGCAACACACTTTCCTTTAGTAGTAGTCAGATGAGACCTAATGTCAAATTGTTGGTTAATTGTGGAGTTTCTGATTCAAACATTGCCATATTGCTTCGTAAATGGCCTAGTATATTCTCATCAACTCAATTGCTCAAGGAGGTCCAAGAAGTAAAGGAATTGGGGTTTAACTCTTCAAAGTCATCTTTTAGTATTGCATTGCTTGCCAAACATACTGTCAGAGAATCCCGGTGGGATGAGAAAGTTGATGTCTTTAAGAAGTGGGGTTCGTTTGATGAAAACATTCTTGAAGCATTTAGGAGACATCCTAATTGCGTGTTAGTATCTTGTGATAAAATTAATGTTGTGATGAGTTTTTGGGTGAACGAGTTGGGTTGGGATGTCAAAGGAACAAACATTCTATTGGAAGGGAAAGGGAAAAGAATTGACACTGTTTTACCTTAGTTTAGGCTATGTCCAGCTTATTTGTATTATATTCTTCTGCTACACTCGTTATAAGTCATTCAGCTTACAAGAGGAACATAAATAAGATTTAAAAATCTTATTTATGGGACCAAGTCCAAATTACCGAGAAAAGAAAAATACAATAAGTCAGAGAGGAGCACTAGGTCTCTACAGGCAGTTGGCTTCTTGCTAACTCTACAACAAGAGTCGTCGTCTGTGTGCGAAAGCGAAGTATGAATTATACGCAACAGATTCTTGAATATAGTTTGGAGAGAAGGATCATTCGAAGGGCTTTTGTTGTCCAGTATGGCAAAAGGTTTGATAGACAATAATGCCAGCTTATTTACACCATTTATAATTTCTGAGAAGATGTTCCTGCAGAAGTTTTTGAAATGTTTTATGAAGAATGAAGCATCTCTCCTATTACAGATATATCAGGAAAAAATGAATCTTCAAGATAATAGGGAGGACGGTAGCATCTCTTTGTTATCAAAGTGTTAACGTGCGAGTATAAACTTTGTGTACTTCAGTATGTTATGCATCTTCTTTTTCTAGTACTTTTTATACTCCTGTATAAACCTGGATTTAGCTACAAAGTTTATTGAATTGTTTCATTTGTTTTATTGGATCCTTAACTGATGCTAGTCTCTGCTCTAATCTATATGAACAACTTGATGCCTCATAAATAATTGACCAATTAAGAGTCAAAATGAACACATTTTTTTTAATGAATTTGGAGCAAAGATTATGCTGTGGGTTTAATGAGGTCTAACACCATTACTAGCTCAAATAAGAAAAGACGGTGATGAAATTTTGGCATTAGAAATAAATATGTAATAGACTACAGTTGTTATTATTAATAAGAATTTTTATTTTTGGTAGTCATTATTAATAAGAATTTGATAATACTTGATAAGCCAGAATTGATGTTATTTTTAATTTTGCTATGTTTTGGTATATATACTTGCTATAAAATCTTAATGGTACTATTTAAGAAATTATTGTCTGACATTATGTTTATCAATTTTTTAATTTAATATATATAATAGTCATGAAGTTTTTAAAAAATAATATTGGAGATTTTTATTTCTACAAAAATTAATATATTTTTTGGACATATTGATCATTAGATTTTTATAAAATTAATATCATATGATATATTTTGAAGAATTATATAAATTCTGTATTAAAAGGTATTTTTATCAAAAATATTTATTTTTATTGTATCTAATATTATACATTGTATTACCAAACATTGAATAATATTATTTTATGGAAAAAATATTTATCATTTTAAAGACACAACATTGTGTCATTTCAAATAAAACGATGTCATTTTGAGATATATCTCATGATTTTTTATCTTCTTTCTCCTCTATAAAATTAAAAAGAAAGAAAAAATTGAGGAGGGATAATGTAAAAAATACCAACTATGTATCAAAATGACGTCATTTTATATAAAATAATACAAAATTGTGTCATTTAAAATAATTAATATTTTTTCTTATTTTATATCATATACATTTTCATATCAAATATCGGATACTATTAAAATTTAGTCATGCTTTATATAATCAAACTTTATAGGGTTTATCCTAACCAATCATTCCACCGAAAATATTTGGTTCAAATGTACTTGTTATCTTTTTCTTCCTTCCGTTTGATATGTCAAATAAACTCTTTCAGTCACAAACTCATAGCAGTGACGTGGAATTTTGATCAGTCACGGAACTTCCAACCTCGGCCAAAGTCATTGCTTTTTTATCTAGTGCGTTCATTCCTTCTCTTATGCTTTATTCCCTGATATCAACATTTTTTTTTTTGGATAACCCCTGATATCAACATTAATCCTGAGAGGCCACTTTTATTAGAGATTCGACGAATTTGAACTTCTTCACTCCCTTTAAGAATTGAAGCTTTCAGAAATCGAATCATTACTTTTTGAGCAAGTAAAATCAAATATGTCTGCACTTTCTTAGGTCTCAACATAATATAAGGGTCTCCTTACCCATGCTTAATTGTCAATCTCTCTATGCTATTAAATGAATGTTGGAAATGTACCCAAAAAAAAAAAAAAATGAATGTTGGAAGAAATTTTGTCCCTCTTGTCTGACATTTTCTTGATGCATTGGCAGGAACCATTCGTCCTGTGATGTAGACCACCGGAATCTGAAAGTCCGTGATCAAAAGCAAACAAAACAGTCTTTCAAATGGCTCTTTCTACAATCAGAAATTAAAATAGTATGACAAAATGCCGTTTGTTGAACGGCATATGCCACCATATGATACGATGGTTAACGGACCAAGATCTTGACCCTATAACCGCCAAAATTACGGTGGGAAAGTTTATTTACACTTCTAATTAAAAGCATTGATTGGTAATTGGGTATTGGGGTTGGTTGTTCTTGGTCATCCACTTTCAGTTTGAGTAATGCAATGAGGGAATGACAACTACTGGGATCAGCAAAATATTAAGAGTCTGTCTGGTAAGTCCAAAAAATAGGAATATGAAGTTAATTAAAAACTACTTTATAAAATTTCCACCTTCATTTTTATCTCACATCACCTTTAAAAAAAAAAAATAACAATGAAAATGAAAGACAACTAGCGGCGAAATATCTCCATTAGTACTTTTTCCCCACCTCTTAGGTGACCTAATATTGGAATAATTCAAACTACTAACTACTCTTCCGTTTCTTAGGGTCCAAGGCCAAGTTTTGTGTGTACTTTTGAAAACGAAATTAATCAGCCTCCTACTTCTATGAATTTTTTCTTCTTTTTTTTGTTCTCTAAAAAGATATATAAATCATTAAAAAAAAATAAACAATCCTATCACGAGTCATTTTTCTTTAGAAATGTATTATTCAATAATATAAAAAAAATATTTTATTTGTAATTATAAAGATGAACTTGAGTATAGTTCAAGTAGTGCCATAAAAAAATTTAAGTAGAGGTCACACTTTATAATTAAAGTTTTTAATATATCAAAGAAATAAATAAACAATATGGGCAATTGTTAAGATGATTAGTTCTTTAATGTTTAAAGTGACATACATGCTATAAGCAAAAGTATCATCTAATTATATTACCCAATTCATTACATAAAACCAATTATCCTTGATTTTAAGTATTTTTGTCACTTGAAATAAGTTTGTTGTTTCCTTCGCAGTGAAATTCCACAAAAAGGAAATTCGGGTATTTTATTAAAAAGTAAATTAGTTTTCAATTCATTTCAAATTAAGGTACGTGTGTAAATAAGATGAAATCATGGTAAGTCTACTCATTGAAGCTGAACTTGCCCAACCAGCATTTCTAATTTCCATATATTTTACAAGCAAATTGGACAAATATAAACAATTGCAAAAAGTAGGGACGTTCGCGGTCTGAATTGGATCAATTTTGGAAGCAAAAATTATCTAATCCAATCTCTTCGGTTTGATCATGTAATCATCCATTTGGTTTGAATTTTTTTTCAAATCCGATACGATTCAATCTAATTTTTTCGGTTTGCATTGAATCGATTTTCGGTTTTTTGAAAATTTTAAAATTTGTTTCATGATTATTGTGCAAATAATATCTTTTGTATATATTGACTTTGTATTTATTTTTTTTGAAATACAAAAGCATCAGTAAATGATAATATTATTATTTTTTGGACAATGAGATATGAAGCTCTACACAGACAAAATTTTGTTGGTGAGATGTGATTAGATTTTTTCTTGGGTTTAGTTGATGGGTTAACGGATCTTGGGTTTAGAAATTTTTGAACAATGATCGGGGAAAAACCCAAGTAAGTATAGAGAAATTAATATATTTGATCATTTTAGATTGGATCAGTTTTCATCAACCAATCCAAAAACCTATCTAATCCAATTAAAATTTGCGATTTTTTTTTTCGATTTTTGATTTATCCAATTATCAATTTTTCAGTTCGATCATCACAATTTGAATCGATTTAGATTGATTGATAAATATTTCTAACAAAAAGTACAACCAAGCTTACATTATTAAGATCTTCAATAATTGCCAGCTTTTGCCAGCTCCTAATTCATCATTAAAGTTTAATTTTTTTTATAAAAAATATACAAACACACACAATAGCGAAGACTTTCCCCGTCAGAATCCGAAAAATGACAATGGGATACATTGGATTTTCAAATTTTGCCACATGATCCGTCTTAAGTCTTAACCCTTTCGCACCACGTGTCTTGCTACCACAGCAGGTTCCAGCTGCACACAGGTCCACTAAATCACTCCTCGATCATCATGTTGACAAACAGTACTGTTGCACTAGCACGACAACAAAACATGCACCATATAATATTTCCTTTATAATATTAATATTATTTTATTTGAAGGAGTTGGAAAATGAACATGTTAGTTGTTTTCCACTTGCTACGTTTAATTTAAATTATTCCCTGTTTCTCTCTCCCCCATTATCAAATATAATATAAAAAATATTAATTATAAAAAGGCTAATGTATCCAGTTTGTCAATCGAAAATGAAAACTACCAAATAAAATGACGTTACAATTAAAAATAGAGAGAAAAAGTTAAAAAAATAAAATAAAGGAGGACTTTTTCATCGGCCGGAAGGTTAGTAATACACGTAAGCGTAATTATCATTTATTATTTATAGAATAATATATCTGATGTTACAAGCTTAAAATTTAATCAGAAGCCATTCAGACAAAAATGACCCTATTCAGCCAAGAATGACCCCAACGCGTGCGAAGGACCCCGCGCGTTGACCTGATCTATGACCGTAATACCGAACTCATCAACGGACTTAAAAGGGTACGTGCCACGCGTGAGGCCTAGATATATGCTTAGAACCTTAGGGTATTTTAGTAAAACCGTTGGACGACGCTAAGAGTTGTTGAAAAATTAGTAGCCAGTAGGATTACGAAAGGGGCTGGAAAATCACCGTACACGGTGGTGGCGGAAGATAGCGACCGTTCACTGACCCGATGCACCGACACATGTCCCGGACCAAAAGGGTGTTCAGGTAATCTTGAACAGCTACCATAGACAAAAAGACAAACAAAGTACATTTTCCAACAAACATGGCACAGTTGGCTAAGAATTTGATCTATATCTTTCAAGGATGTGAGTTCAAACTCTGCTGGCCGATGTGACTTTATTTGGTCTATTTCTTAAAGAGGTTGAGAAGTCTTCCCTGACTCTAGTGAAATACCAGTATCTAACCTTACTTAAATTTTTGTATTTCAAAAAAAAAAAAAAAAAAAAAAGTACATTTTACAAAATCATAGTGCCCGATGCAAAATTCCCAATTTGGACACAGCCTCCACATGTGCCAGCTAATAATTGGTAGAACAACACTTAATATAGAAGAATTTGGACAAGTCGTGGAAGAAAATTCAAAAGAAGAAAAGAAATGGTATTGAGCGTGTTGACCCATTCATTATTCACATCACACCGCCCTGAGTTAGTCCACATGATATAATGGAGGTTGGACGGTACATTCAACATAAATATATATATATATGGTAGTGTTGTACATTGCACATTATTATTACATAAATTGTATATGCGCATATTGGAGAAAATTTAATTTAAGAACATTGGAGTTGGAGGAATCTTAATAAATTATTGATACAATAATCGCTGTCCTTCTAGGCCTCTGAAGCCCCCCCACTCCCAATCTCACCTCTTTTTATATATTCTCTTCCCCTTTATCATCTTTTCACTACTCAACTTCTCATCTTCTCTCTCTCACATACAACAGTTTCTCTCTCTCTCTCTAGAAACCGCAAGATGGGTTCTGCTGCAGTACAAGTGTTTATGATCTTGGGGCTTTTGGCCACATCATGCATAGCACAAGCACCTAGTGCTGCACCCACGCAGCCACCAGCATCAACCCCACCACCACCACCCAAATCAGCACCAGCTCCGTCACCGACAACAAAAACCCCATCTCCAGCACCAGCACCAGCACCGTCGCATAAAACACCAACACCTGCCCCCGCTCCTTCTAAATCTCCAGCCTCTTCTCCTCCTGCACCTTCCGCTTCTCCATCAGAGGCACCTACCCCTTCTTCTCAATCTCCACCTGCACCAGGCCCAGGCAGCGTTGCACCTTCACCAGGCCCAGGCTCTGAGCTACCAACGTCTCCACCACCACCCTCCGCTGCATTCTCTGCCAGCAAGGCCGTCATTGCTGGCACTGCTCTTGCGGGTACCTTCTTCGCCATGGTCTTGGCTTAGAAGTCCAACAGAGAAGCGATTGATTGGATTTGCTCTTAGGATTCGTCCACGTGGAGGCACTTTGACCCTTGATCTTCATTTTCATGGATGGACGGACTGACGGGATCTATTTGATTTATTCTCTTTGTCATATTGAGTAGCGTTTTTTTTCTTTTTTCTTTTTCCTTTTCGTTTTCTGTGTTCTCTATTTATATTTTTCTTCTATGTGTTTGCTCATTCTACATTTTGGAGGGGTGACCTTGGTGATGATGATTATGATTATTTGGTGATTCACTGTTTTGGTGTTTCACACGTGTATGTAGATGACCGTGATGATTTCATTGTACATCTAATAATTTGAAAGAATAAAAACAGTTTGTCATTCTTTTTACGTAGAATCTTGTTATCCTTTCATCATATTGGCTCACTTTGTGCGAAATTCTCTTTATTTACCGTATGATCCGAGATCTGTTATTATGGTATGAAATACGTGTATAATTATTTGAATTTCTTCAAAGCGTTCTTGGATTTTCTTTAATTTTTTTGAATATCATGAATGCTTAATCGGACAATAAGACAACGCAATTACTAATTACTTAAAATAAAATAATCTTTTATCAACCAAATCAATTATTTTAAATATTTTTTAATTTATCTTTTTCATATTTTATATGCATATTAAAGTATCCGTACAATGTATAAACACTTGTTAATGGTTACCATACTTACCAACATTATGAGCAAAAGCCAACAACTGTGTTAAATTATTAAAAACAGATACACACACGGGCAATGTTTATACTCAAAATAATTCTAATGAGGAAATTGATTATGTGAGAAGTAAGATGTGTGAATTTATACTCAAAACGTTTAACAAAGAACTTTTAATTAAAAAATGTTTTCATTTAAAATTAAACGAACCAACCATATACTTCATATTTTAATATTGATAGTTTAAATCTAACAATCAAAATTTCTTCATTGTCTTCTTCTTCACATGGAATTATCTTTTTCATCGCAATCATTATATATTTGTTACTTAAACCTTAATGAAACTGAAAAGACTTTTGTTTTTGGCATCATACGGAAAAGGTAACATCTTCTCACATGTGATCAAGCTATAAAGCTGAGTGAAAATTGCTTTATATGAATCAATTGAGTATAAAAAAAATGAACAATTTAGAAGTTTCTAGGATTGATCCAATTTAATGACCCCTAATCAGAATCTATCCACTTTTACAATTTAAGCTAAGTTTAAGTGCCATGTCAATTGTAGGTGACTAAATTATGAGGGGGAAGTTATACTTATTACCTATTTTTCTTACTACTTTTTATTATCAAATTTTAATCGTTGATTTCTGTCAATCTAACGGTTATAATTTATTGAAAAATAATAATTAATTAATAAGTGAAATTCAATAAATTATAACCGTTAGATTGACGGAAATCAACGGTTAAGATTTGATAGTAAGAAGTAGAAAAAAAAAAGTAGTAAATATAACTTTTCTCAAATTATGAAGCTCTATATATTTTCATAAAATTTGTTCCTGTTTGCTTTGGATGAGCTGAAACTAAACGGGTACATCTATGATATAGAACGATGTTTCTTAAATTATAAGCTTTGCTAATTAAAATTAGAAATGTTACATCCTCTATATGTGACGCTACTGATGATGAAATGCGGTTTAATTTTCTACAATGGCCGGCTTCTTTCTCGAGGAGAGAACGTGCGTTCCTTCTGATCTTTTCAACGCTATTGAGATTAGTTTAATTTAACCCAATCAATTCCATGGAAATTTGCCATGCTTAAGACCAATTTTTCTAAATATAATAATTTTCTGCGAAAGTGACAAGCACGTACCAGCCAGTATCCAAATAGATGCCCCCCAACAAGAATTTGTATTATTGCAAGCAAGTTAGATCTGATTAGTGATTGGTTAAACTGCTAACCTCTAACTTTATTAATGTAGTGCATTGGATCGATGTGGTGGTCAGCATAAAATTTTCTGTGGTTAATGTGATTCGGTTGTCTTTTATCTCGTGTCCGTCCAATGCGAATAAACAACTCTCTCTTTTTGGCCATCGTGCATTAAATACAGTACGGCTTCTTAATCTTTCTTTCACATACGAGGCTTTTCAAATAAACATAATTAAAATGTTATAGACGGCACAATACTAACATGCCAGGTGTATAACACATAAGTCACACCTCTTTTATAAAGTTAGTTAGACTTATTTTTAATTTTATTTTAATTACTGTTCAATTGGACACTATTGGGATGATCAATTGGTTGTTGGTAATTGTATATAGGATTGGTACTTATAGTTTATCAAACTAAAATCACTTTTATATCTAGTCAAAAGCATAAAATTTTATAGTTATTTAACTAAAAAGCATTAACTTTGAATTATTGACTCATATGAATGATTTTTATTTGTTTTTAAAGATAATTGAGTTGAATTTGAGCATTAGCCAAAAGGACTTAAAGAGATAAATGATGAGCAACAATTTAGTAAAAATCTCTCTAAAACTATTTTTCGTATCAAATATAATGGATTTGGATCTTGTATTTTCAAAAAAATAAAAGACATTTCTTTTATCTTTCGAATGAGACCAAAATCAAATCAATCGGACAAGTATAACTCAAATTATGCACAAAATATAAAAGTATATTTTTGTTGTCTGTTAATCACCAAGAGACAAGAGGTATTCACTGTAATCCTTGTTATATTAAACTACACAACATTGGTGCTATTATATAGCAAACCAATTGAAGAATACAAAGAGACACACTCAATGTGGGACTTCTATACTATGTACAGCAACACTCCCCCTCAAGCTGGAGCATATAGATCGTATGCACCAAGCTTGTTACATATCTGGTCTATCCTAGGTCCTCTCAAAGACTTAGTAAATACATCAGCTAATTGATCATTTGAGTTGACAAAACGAGTGACTATATCTCCTGAGAGAACCTTTTCCCTAAGGAAATGACAATCTATCTCAATGTGCTTAGTCCTTTCATGAAACACTGGATTTGAAGCAATATGCAAAGCAGCTTGATTATCACAAATGAGAGATGTTGGGCCAGTGTCTCCAAACTTGAGTTCCTTCAGTAGCTGTTTTAACCAGATGAGTTCACAGGTAGCTGTGGCCATGTAGGGGTGGCAATACAGGTATTGACCCGCGGGTTGACCCGTGACCCGACCCGCCAAATCACGTGTCGTCTCAACCCGCGAGTCAGGGCGGGTCGTGTCAGGGTTGTGTAAATGTGACCCGTTTTTTTCGTGTCGGGTCACGTGTCAACCCGCGGGTTCGCGTGTCAACTCGCACAATGTCATTTTTTTATTTTTTTATTAAATATTTTATTATATTATTATTTTTATTCATTTATATATCGATATATATAGTCATTGTTTAGTATAGAAAAAAATAGAAGGAACTAAAAATTTCAAAAAAAAGAAGCTAATCTTTTTTTTTTTTTTTATTGTTTTTAATTTATTTATTTTTCAAAAAATCCCACTTTTTTTTAAAATTTTAAATTTTGCGGGTCGTGTCGTGTCGACCTGTGACCCGCAACGGGTCGTGTCAGGGTTTGTGTTTTACGACCCGTTTACAAAACGGGTCGTGTCAGGGTCGTGTCAAATAGTGTACGGGTCAAAAACGTGTCGTGTCGTGTCGTGTCGGGTTGACCCGTATTGCCACCCCTATGGCAATGTAGCGATATTCTGCTTCAGCACTTGATCTAGCAACTACACTTTGCTTCTTACTTCTCCAGGAAATCAAGTTATCTCCAACGAATACACAATACCCAGAAGTAGATCTTCTATCAATAGGAGAACCTGCCCAATCAGCATCTGAGTATCCTACAACTCTGGTATGACCTTTGTTTTCATAGAGAAGACCTTTGCCAGGAGCAGTCTTGATGTACTTGAGGATACAGATTACTGCATTCCAGTGATCTTCACAGGGAGAATTCAAGAACTGACTTACTACACTGACTGCAAAGGAAATGTCTGGTTGAGTAACTGTGAGATAGTTCAGTTTCCCAACCAATCTTCTATACCTTTCTGGATCAGAAAATAGCTCCCCCTGATTTGGTAAAAGCTTGACATTTGGATCCATAGGAGTATCAACGGGCTTAGCATTTAACAATGCTGCTTCCTCAAGAATATCCATAGCATATTTTCTCTGTGATAGTACAATGCCATCTTTGGATTGGGCCACTTCTATCCCTAAGAAATATCGGAGTCTTCCAAGGTCCTTTGTTTGAAAATGATGGCACAAATGTTGTTTTATCTGAGTTATGCCATGAGTATCATTACCTGTAATGACGATATCATCAACATATACTACCAAATAAATAGAACCTGAATCAGAGTGTTTGTAAAAGACTGAGTGATCAGCCTCACTTCGAGTCATGCCAAACTGCTGCACAACAGTGCTAAACCTTCCAAACCAAGCCCGGGGAGACTGCTTTAGACCATACAAGGATCTTCGGAGACGACAAACTAGGTTAGACTCCCCCTGAGCAACAAACCCAGGAGGTTGCTCCATATAAACCTCTTCCCGCAGATCACCATGGAGGAAAGCATTCTTTATGTCCAGCTGATACATAGGCCAGTGATGAATGGCTGCCATAGTAATAAAAAGGCGAACAGAAGTCATTTTTTCCACGGGAGAAAATGTGTCACCGTAGTCAAGGCCAAATATCTGAGTATAACCTTTAGCCACCAAGCGGGCCTTAAGACGGTCCACCTGACCATCCGGACCAACTTTAACCGTGTATATCCATCGACAACCAACAACAGACTTCCCAGAGGGAAGGGGAACCAGATCCCAGGTACCACTACTATGGAGTGCACTCATCTCATCAATCATGGCCTGTCGCCAACCAGAATGTGATAACGCCTCACCTGTAGTCTTTGGAACAGATACAGAAGAAAGAGAAGAGAGGCAAGCAAAATGGGATGGTGAAAGACGATGATAACTCAAATTTACTAAATACCTGGGATGGGGACGAGAATCACGAGTACCTTTCCGGAGTGCAATGGGAACATCAATGTCAGACCGAAGGATCGGAGCTGCCGGAGGAGATGATGACGGAAGTGAGTCCACAGGAGCCTCAGTAACAATAGGGGCAGACTCGGTGGGGGCAGGATCCTGGGGAACAGGGGGACGTTGCCGACGATGATAGACCTGGAGGGGGGGAACATGGGCAGGAACAGGGACGGGGACATCGAAAGAAGGAGATGATGAAGGTATATAGTGAACTGAAACAGGTGGTAAAGGTAGCTGAGTAGCAACAGAATCACTGGGATGAGAGGAGGAGTCAAAGAATGGAATAGACTCAAAGAATGTAACATCC